TGTCGTTGATTTAGAATTGTTTTTATATCCAAATTGATTTTATATCCGAAAGTTTTTTCTTTATTTGAAGTGTATTATGATAATAATATTTATTAATAGCTATATTGTAAACAATAATTAAATTAAAATTGATTTGTGAGATTACAGTCGTATTATTATAATAAAATTTTAGAAAAAAATGTCCGAAGAATTTATTTGCAATAACGGATTCAGATATTTTCACACGATAAAGGAATGCCGCGTTTGCAAAAATCGCCTAACTGGGCAAATAACTTCTCCCATTTCGGACTCTCCGGGTCCAGTCATCTGCAATTATATATAATTTTGTAAATTATTATGGCAGTATTAAAGAAGAAATATAAAAGTTTTAAATATTGCTAAATCTCATCCGAGTTGGAGTCTGAAGAATCTACAAAAAAAAGGATGTTTTCGATTAAAACGTATGGAGGATTTGGCGAAATGGGAGAAACATATTAAAGATGGTGAAACCATATTCGACAAATATGCGATTATCGACTCGTGGACATATGATCGCTTCACAGAAGCTCGGCAAATCCATCAGCAAGTAACGACAAGAAACTTGCAGCAGTGGGCTTTATCTGCTGCAAGTCAATTTCAAAATTTGGATTTCAAAGCTTCCAATTCGTGGGTTGAGCGATTCAAACGAAAACATCGAATTCGCCAACGAAAGATAACGAAAAATGTGTCCAAAAGAGAAAGTGCAACAATAGAGGAAACCTTAGTTGCTGCGGAAAATTTTCGCATACAGACTCGTGACCTGATATCAAAATTCAATCCCAATTTTGTCATCAATACTGACCAAACAGGTATTTACAAAAATTTCATTTTTTTATGACTCATGTAGCAAAAAAATATTTATAATAAAGAGATTTTAAATATTTGCTAAATATTTATATGTCCAGGATTTATTATACATATATCAAATACACTTTCGTATAATTAATATGGTGAATTTAAAAAAATATTTTTCAGGGTGCCAATATCAGTACACCTTTAACAGAACACTCGCAAACCAAGGATCAAAGGTAGTTCTTGTTCAAAGGCAGAACATGAATAAGATGACCCACTCCTACACAGCGCAGTACAGTGTCACTCTATCTGGGAAATTGTTACTCCTAGTTTTCGTGTGCCTACAAGAACCAACAGGTTCATTTGGACCCAGAGTTCAGAAATCGGTGGACGAGTATGTCCAAAAATATCGTAATGTCGTCGTCACATCGTCGAAATCGGGAAAGCTGACAACGAATTTATACAAAACCTTTTTAATTAAAACTGTAAAGCAATACGTGGGAGAAGAAAGGTTTCTCTTACTCGTCGATTCTTGGGGAGGACAGACCAAGCCGGAGATGTACGATGAAATTTTTTTAAACGATAAGCGTCTGCCAACATGCATTGTTAAATTTATTTCCCCGAAATGTACCCCTTTGGTCCAACCTTGTGATGTATATTTTTATAGACAGGTAAAAAATTTCATAAAGCGTCTTCAAAATTGCGCCTACTTGATCGAACAAGAACGCGAAATTAATTCCCGAGAAGATTGCATTAAAATTCAATCTATTGTACATCACCAGCTGTTCTCTCCAATCTTTAAGAACATGATTCGATACGCGTGGTTCGCTTCAAACCTTTGTGATGACATAGACATTTTTATGAACGTCAATGAAGTATGTTTTCCAATAGACATTTTAAAAAAACCTTGCGCCTGTAAAATATCTGCGTTCGTACGGTGTGCTAGATGCCGTGAAACTTATTGTTTCCCTTGCTTTTACGATAAATATCATCCTGGTTCGTGCAATATTGACGTGTAAAACGACTGTATACAATATATTTTAAACTATATATTTCATATCATATAATTCACTTTTAAAAATTAAACAATATTTTTATTGATATCATTTTTGCGCTGTATTTTCTCGTAATTTTCAAAAATATAAAACCATTTTATTTCCTACCTGACGTTTTTCATTTTTGTACCAATATTCAAAATAAGAAGATGTAAGTTTTTCATTGAAAACGATAATTAAAGATTAATTAGCACACTGAGAGAAATGTTTTGTTGAAACAACCAAAATTTTGTTACTGACGCAAAAACTATTTGTTGATATGTGATCAAACAAACCGTTGGTTACCACGCATAATATTATTTTGTTGACTGTTTGGTATGATGTACAATAATCCTTTGTGATGAAAAATTGAATATTTTGTTACCGGAACAAAACATTACATGAGCGATAAGGAGAACGCACCCTTAGTTCTTCGCACGGCAAGCGTTAAGCGGACTGTCAGTTATTGCCTGTCGATCTACCTGTTCGTCCTTGTCAGTATTTATTTATTCTAGACACTGCATAATAACAAAGCAAGGGCAAAGAAGGACCTAACATCTAAAGTGACCGTTTAGGTTTTTGTGCGTTCTTTCTCTCCTCACATAACCTCACATAACCTTATTATGGATACAACAGTCAAAGATTTATTAAAACAGTGAGATTTTCCTGATCTCATACAACTGTTTGAGGGTAAGTAAAGACTTTTATTTCATCTATATTTATTTATCTTTATCTATATTTTACATACACAATGGCTAGTATTCTCATCTCAATTGTATCAATAAATCAATATAAAGTATTTATTTATTTCTGAAAATGAAATATATGTAACGTGAACTAAATGCTGAACGCATTTTGAAACAAGTAATCCCGTAACAGTAAATGACACAAACAATATCACATCTGAAACAGCTACTCGATCCTAATGTAATCGTAGAACGTGCAAGTGATGCTGAGATAATTGATACTGTATGTACAGGTTGACAATGTTAAAATAATTGTTGGTAAGGAAAAGGGACTTGTTCAGTCAGATGAAGAGGAACATATCAAGCAGAAAGAAAACAAACATATAGAAATTGAAGTGTGCGAAATTGATGATTTTCAGCTTGCCAATGCTGTTCGTCATCTGGTACGTATTTATGTTTAGCATATCCTTTATATTTTATGTAAAACAATTTTATGTATGTAAAAATATAATTGCTATAGTTGAGCTGAAAGAGATATTTATTTCTTGTTATTCCAGAGTTTTGCTGATTTTGAACGTGATATTGAACGTCAAGGAAAGGAGCAGCTGCGTTAAATTTGACTCTGCAACCATTTATTATTTTCGTAGGATGTGACGCTAGCTCAGTTAACTACGTTTGCATCGATAAAACATTATACAAAATTGAAAGTGCTCTTAAAGCTGTCGACGTATGCTACAAGTGCTTTTTTGTTTGCATGCGTGCTATTGCGTGCTATCCTAAAGAATCTCAACAAATATGACTTCTGATACAAAAATTATATAATATAATATGACAACTGAGCACGATGTATGCAATAGCAAAGTTACACATCTATCGAAATGACTTTAAGGAAGATGTAAAGAGATTATTTCTTTATTATTTTTTAAAAATATTTTTATTTTACGATAATGATTGATTGAAACAGCCGACTAAAACAGCCGACTATAAAATTACTTTTATATATAGATACGTTTTCCTTCGCGATTACGACAATCAAATTGATAATAAAAAATTGCTTTTTGCTACGATATTTTATCTTCACTGTAAAATACCTTATTATCTTATAAGTAAATATATTTTTTAATTAAGAAAGTGGAGAATGCCAATGTTGCATTAAATTTTATATTACTTTTCACATTTTTGCAAGTTCAAAAAAGTTTTCAATCTGCAACTATAGTATATTATTTCTTCAGAATAATTTATAGTATAATTAATTGCCGTCAATAAACTAAAAAGTTTATAAATTAAAAAAACTCAAATCTAATTGTAAGTAAATATTACACTATGTGTAATAATAAAAAATAAAAATTTTGCTTATTTTGTTATTTGTTATATGATACTCACGATCCAGCATCATTATTCATAGCTGTCTAATTAAATCAAGCCTTTATGATGTACTTATGATGTACTTATTACTTTAAGTGTGATAAAAAATTTTTAACAATATTCAGAATTTATTGACATTGGTCTCTTATAAATAAGTAAATCAATAAAACATTAAAGACGCTTTCACCTCGAAAGTTGGATTAATTCTCTGCCGACGATGCTCGTAAAATGATCTCTATCTTTCTCAACCGGAGGTCATGCAATATATCTAACATTTTTTTTACTTCGAGCAACACATTTATTCTATGATATATTCAATAATAGTGTTATATGTCCACTCACACGGCTATAATATATCTCAGTACATGATTTAATCGTTAAAGCAAACTTATAAAAAAATAAATTTAAAAACAAGTTTAAATTTCTTCCTTAGAAAATATAAATATATATATCTATTAACCCTCCGTCTGACAACGTTATTTGGGATCTTTCGATTGACAACGTGGATCGGTAGATGTGTCGCCTTTGACGTTATTTCCCCATAACCTTAAAGTATTTTAAAAAATCTTAAACAATTCATAAAACATGTGTGTTAACATTGTAGATAACGTTTTTATATGTAGTCATTTTGATAAACATCGTTTATTTAATATTTCCTGCCGGGCTTGTAAATTTTACGAGCAGATGTTGTTTTGGCTCGAACGCTGGTGACTGTCAAACGGAGAGCTAAGAAATTGTTAGGTTAACTGCAGGTATCATACCGTTCCGTATTGCTTTGTAACTACGATCAAACTTTATAATTACTACAACCAAATGAGTAACCAAATGATATTGTTTAGTTAACTCAAAAAATTTACCAAATTTTGCTTAATCAACCAAAAAATCCTTCCATTTTGCTATCGTAACAAAATTATTTATTATCTGTGAACAACTATATTTTTTTGTTACCATTAGTATAACTTTTCTCTCAGTGCATGGATTTGATAAATTTTACATTAAAATTAAAATTCTGTGTACATAGCGCGGTCGGAATTCTTCAAAGTCGATTTTCCCGAGTTTTTCTGAAAAGCGCGCCTTAATACTTTGGGAAATTGATGTCCGAGTGATGACCCTCAAGTACAGTAAGTACGAAAAAAAACAAAAATCCGTTAGCCTGAAGGTCCCCTTGTTAGATATATACTTTAATGCATACTAAAAAATTGTCACAAATTATAAAACTACTGAAAAAGTCTTACGAATGTATATCATGTCTTAATATTGATTTTAAGAAATTATTAGTTAAATATAATATTTCTCTATTTTAGATAATATTCAGCCAGTAAAATTCGCATATTACGAGAGCTTCATGAACAAATATGCGTATGTGGTCGGTTGGAAAAAAAATAACACGGCTAGCGAAATTATGTGGGATACAATGAAACTTAAGTACGCCACGTTGCCGATTATAGAAAATAATATATGCAGGCAATACTGGCCCATCAACGACAATCACATTTGCACTGCCGCAGAATTTGGAAAATTCGCTTGTCCCAAGGTAAAACATAATTACAAATAATAAAGTTATTGTTTATGACAATATATACTACAAAAATTGCAAGTATAAGTGCAATATTCTAATTCGCGCAGCATAAATAATATTATATCGTTTTAGTCTGCAGCTTTAATAAATAAAATTCGAAAGTTTCTCTCTTTTCGTAACAGTTATTTAATATTCGTTAAATAATATTTTATTTTTAGAAAAACAGCAGTGATCCTCTCATCGTAAGAAAAAATGGCCAGGACTTTCAAATAGGTATTATGACTTACGGAGACCAATCTTGTCCTGACAACTTACCTGGAGTGTATATTAAGGTTTCTGCATATATAGAATGGATTCGCGAAGTTATGAAGCGACAGAGTTGGGAAGTAACTCGTTACAAAAAGCTCTAATAGACGTCTACTAGACGTCCATCATGGAGATTAAAAACCTCCATTAAACATCCATGTAACTTCCCATGGACGTCTATTTAGCATCCATAGTTCCGCATTTCACATCTCCATTGGACCTCCATTAGACGTATTGATAGATCTCTTTTAGACGTCATATAGATTAACGATAGATGTTTCATAGAGCTTCGATGGATAATTAAAATATTTTAACTAAACGTTTTATAGATTCTTTATGGCTATACGCCTTGTTTATAAAGATTACAACAAATTAGATAATTATTTATAAGTTGTATCCAACAAATTATCAAAAATTGCTTCGCAGACCTTTGCTATGTGATACCAGAGGTATTATACTTCAGATGATCTGCAGCAAAGAATTATCGCAGTCAGACAGGCAGTCGTGCATCACCGATATTAAAAAAAAAGAAGTTAATTTTCGCAAGTTTGCACCCAAAATTTAAGTTGAATTGGATTAAGTTAAAATGGTGAAGAAAAGAAACTTGCTAAAAATTATTTAGAAGACCTATTAGGCATATTCGTTCTTTTGAGAATTTCCCAAATTTAAGTAAAAAACTCCATGATCATGATGACTTTTTTGCCTTTAGCCAACAAACAAAAGAAGTCGAGTCCGCACAAGAAGAATTGTATCGATTCTTATAAGGTAGTTAGTCCGTAATAATAATGTCAAAAAGTTAATAATAGACAAATGACATGTAGTATTTGGCTGGAATTGTCCGCGTTATGCATGTGTGTAAGAATTTCATATGTACATATATATTAGAAACTAATGTGTGCTATTAGATTAGGTTCACTTCAAAGCTAATTTCGAAGGTTAGCTGTCATATGCGTCCACCGTTAGTATCAGAAATTGTGTGTGAACTTTAAGTATCAATTACTTCGAAACTAGATGGTCAAAGGTCTTGTATATTTGTAAGTATATTTTTACAAGTCTCTTCTATCGTCTTCTTGTTTTTCATAAAAGTCGCAAGAGTAGTTTAATCGCTTCAATTAGAAACATGATGTTGGAAGACGTTTTTGTACCTATATAATACATGTAAAACCTGTAATACATGTAAAAAGTATGATTTCAATTATCTCAACTTCGATACGGTTAATTTTTTCTAATTGCACAGATTTGTAAATCGTGTTTACATTAATATATACTGTTAAAATTTTATGAGGTTTCAAAGAAAATGAGTTTACGGACTAACTACCTTAAAATCGAATAATAGCAATATTGGCTTGTTAAATGATTATACTGCAATTAAAAAACTCTTTTTTAAGTATAAGGTAACTTCAGTATTTACGCCGCGCGTAGATTTACGCCGCAAAAGTAAAAAAAAATAGAAAGAATAAAGATACTTGCTCGCAATCACACTGTTATATGTCTTTATGCCATATTAGTATTGTGTTGTAATTTCAGTTCTTTACTATTAATATTAATGAAACCGTCGTGAGTTGAATCAATTTCTTATCATACAAAGTAACGCGATCATATATTATGACCTACGTAAAATAATTATTGTAGGGAATGTAAAAAGTTTAATGGTTATTTTATGATACATAAGTGTAGAGGGATAGTAAAGGATGGAATATAGCAAAATACAAGCATAGCTCTTGTATTTTTTGTTTAGCTTGATATCTTGTATATTTCTTCTGTTTAGGATATACGGCATTTTTAGCATGCGGGATTTACGCACACAGTACAGACACTCTATAAAAATCGAAATCTTTTACGTGTTCTTTTTCTTTCTTTTTCTTGAATCGCATACTAATATAACCTTTAATGCATCTATCGTTCTTCTATTTTCTTTTTAAAATCTTTTAGTTTTATAATTTGTTTATTATTCTTACATCTTAATAAACTTCTTACACACATTTTATAACTATTATGACATTTTGACGTAGAACTACGTCTTTCTCGGAGGGAATGGGGGTATGACTGCAACGTTTTCTTGCAACGTTTTTATGCAACGTTTTCTTTTTCTAGAAAAGTATTAAAGAAAAATATACTTTATTATATAGTTTTTGAAAGCTCTCGATGTAAGCTAAATGTTTTCGTGGTTAATTTTTCGATATGGGTTTGTTCTCGAAAAGTATTAAAGGAAAATATACTTTATTATATAGTTTTTGAAAAATTTTGATGTAAGCTAAATGTTTTTGCAATTTAATAAATCGACGAAGTATCAGGAGAACATTTTTAGAGGGGCAAAACGAAGATTTTCCTCTCCAACAAAAAAAAATAAAAAGAAAACAAAAAAAACGAGCACAGTAACAACTGTGCCGCAATTAATAACGCTCAAGTGAACCAGCAAGGCGACAATCCAACCAATCTAAAGTAAATCAAGAGAAAAAGAAGAAGAAATCGAATACTCCTCAGACTGACGATCTTTTCGCAAAAATTC